TGGCTGCACCAGCTTACATTCCCACTAACAGTGCACGAGGGTTCCATTTTCTCCACACCCTCGCCAACACCTGTTGTTTCTCATCTTCTTGATTTTAGCAATCTAATAGGTGTGAGGTGATATCTCAGTGTGAATTTGACTTATATTTCCCTGATGATGAGTGATGTTGAGCATCTCTTCATGTGTCTGTCCGCCATCTGTATTTCTTCTTTGGAAAAATGTCTATTCAGGTCCTCTGCTTATTTTTTAATCAGATTGTTGTGGGGTTTTTTGTTTTTTTTTTTTTTTGGTGTTGAGTTGTAGGAGTTCTTTGTATATTTTAGATGTTAATCCTTTATTAGATGTATCAATTGCAAATATCTTCTCACACTCAATACACTGTCTTTTTGTTGGTGATTTCTTTTGCTGTGCAAAACCTTTTTGATTAGTCCCACTAGTTTATTTTTGCTTTTGTTTCCCTTGCCTTAGGAGACCGATCTAGAAAAATGCTGCTACCGTTGATGTCAGAGAAATTACCACCAGTGCCCTCTCCTAGGATTTTTATGGTTTCAGGTCTAACATTTAGGTCTTTAATCCATTTGGAGTTTTTTTTTTTTTTTTTTTTTTTGTCTATGGTGTTAGAAAGTAGTCCAATTTCATTCTTTTGCGTGTAGCTGTTCAGTTTTCCCAGCACCATTTACTGAAATGACTGTCTTTTCCCCCATTGTACATTCTTGCCTCCTTTGTCCTAGATTAATTAATTATATAAATGCGGGTTTATTTGGGGGTCTCTAGTCTGATCCATTGATCTATGTGACTGTTTCTGTACCAGTACCGGACTGTGTTGATTACTATAGCTTTGTAGTATATCTTGAAATCTGGAATTGTGATACCTTCAGCTCTGCTCTTCTTTCGCAATATTGCTTTTGTCATGCAGGGTCATCTTTGGTTCCATACAATTTTAGTATTATTTGTTCTAGTTCTGTGAAAAATGCTGTTGGTATTTTGATAGAGATTACATTGAACCTGTAGATTCTCTTGTGGGCTCCAGCTCACTCTTGATCTCTCCCCATTCTCTATCCATCCCCCCTTCCTGACTTCCTCCCCGCCTGGTGGACTTTGAGGCCTAACGCTGGACAGGATGACAGCAGTCTCACAGAAGCTTCTTAATCACTACCACAGCTGTATAGGGTCAAATCCCTGGCATGAGCCCCTTCATGGACATGTGTGGGTATCTCCATAGAGGTTCTGCTGCTGAAATCCTGGGCCCTGGTCCACAGGGCAATAGTCCTTTTTTTCCCCACAAGAACTTAGAATATGCTTCAAAAGTGTAATTCACACTTACCGAAGTTCCAATGGTTTTTGCTGCTTTTCTCAAGCCAGGTGGTGTGAGCTCAGCAGGAATAGGGGTCTTGGCCTTCATAGTCAGGGCCCCCATGTATGTGATAGGAGTCTGTGAGCCCAGACATCTTTTTTTTTTTTTTAAAGATTTTATTTGACAGAGAGAGAGAGAGACAGCGAGAGAGGGAACACAAGCAGGGGGAGTGGGAGAGGGAGAAGCAGGCTTCCTGCGGAGCCAGGAGCCCCATGTGGGGCTCGATCCCAGGACCCCGGGATCATGACCTGAGCTGAAGGCAGACGCTTAACGACTGAGCCACCCAGGCGCCCCGAGCCCAGACATCTTTAACAGCATAAACAGCACATCTTACAGAGCGTGGTAACTGCCGGTTTTCCCTCTAGGAGGTGTCCATTAGACAAGAGCTTCTTAAAAGCAGAGCACCTGTCTGTTCTCTTGACATTTTATTCCAAACCCTGGGCAATGCCTGTCACATGGGAGGCACTCAAATAGTTGCTGAGGGAATGGGGACTCTATTGGAATCCTAGGTGTTTAACCTCTGGAATTTTCTTGAACAAAGCCCCCTCATCTATATGGAGAATTTCTCATCCATCGAAACTAAGCTCAGGTATTGCCTCCTTTAGTTTTCTACGTTTTCTCAGTAAGCTGTTTTTTAATACTTCTATTATTTTATAACTAAACATTTCTCCATCTATTTTACCAGACTCTGAACTCTAAGGGCAGATATATCACCGGGGTCACTTCTGTATCTCTAGTGTAATACACAGCACTGGGCAAGGTAGATTTGTGAACAATATTAAGTGAACATTACTATTTCCAGAGTTTTTCCAAATCCCATAGGACTAAACTAGCTTTTATGAAGGCTAGGGGCACCTGGGTGACTTAGTCGGTTAAGCCCAGCATCTGCCTTTGGCTCAGGTCATGATGTGATGACAGGTTCCCTGTTTGGCAGGGAGTCTGCTTCTTCCTCTCCCTCCCCCTCCACCCTGCCCCGTTCATGTGTGCACATGCGCGCACGCACGCTCTCAAAATCTTGGAAAAAAAAAAAAAGCGGCTAGTTCTACGTGGGCTAGCTCAGGTAGAGTGCTCAAATCTTGGAGAAATTTGCAACTTCTAATACTTGTTACTAAGGGATGTGATGTTCATTTCCCTCTTAATATAGGACATGAACCCAGGCAACATTGCAACATTTTTCCTTCTGTTCAATGCTCAGGAGTCAGACCCAAATGCCTTCAGGGGTCAGCTAGGTGTGTTGGCTGAAGGCAGATGGGTGAGTCCTAAGTGTGGCTGGCAAATACGAGAGCACAGGTCTGCTCCCCAGGCTCCAGGCTGTGGTGTGTGCCAACGGCAAAGGCAGGCAGGTGCCAGGAGCTTGGAGCGAGCTTGGCCTCACGCAGGCTGCCAAACGTGACCTGGCCTCAGACGCCTTCACATTGGGCTCCCGGTGAGTGGCTCCTAAGATCCATAATGACTGTACTTACAAACCGCTTGTTCTCATGCTGTTATTCCAGTGTTCCCTCCACAGTTTCTTTCTTTTTTTTTTTTTTTAAAGATTTTATTTATTTGACACAGAGAGACACAGCGAGAGAGGGAACACAAGCAGGGGGAGTGGGAGAGGGAGAAGCAGGCTTCCCGTGGAGCAGGGAGCCTGATGCGGGGCTCGATCCCAGGACCCTAGGATCATGACCTGAGCCGAAGGCAGACGCTTAACGACTGAGCCACCCAGGCGGCCCTCCACAGAGTTTCTTAAAACGGAAAAGGACCTACACTCTTCCGTGACTGAGAGTCATGTTCTACTGAAGGTCAAGGGATATTTTAGGTAACTGCAGTGTCAAAAGAGTGCTGATTTCTTTGTGTGCCTTGGAATAGAACTCTTCCTTACATATGTGAATGTAATTGATTTTGAAAAAAGCCCACTGTGATAAAAACACACACTGAAGCTTTCTTAATATAAAGAAACTAAGAAACGTATCTGGGTGAATGCTTACCATGTATAAGCAGCTGTTTTACTTTGCAACAAATTCTTAGGCCTTGCTCTAGAGACCAAAGGATTTCTTTTATTTTTAAGCATGAATTGAATCCACCCACTGCTTAAAATGAAATCCCAGTGGGTTAAGAGGAGGCTCTTGAAAATGTCCTCTTGTCCCTGCCCCCATTCAGGTAGCTAAATTGAAATCCCCCCCCCTTCTGTGCCACCTCTCCATCCCGTTTCCCCTCCTGCCCCATCCCTGTTACTATCTAGGGATTTAAGCAATTTCATAAGTGGACTTTGAGCACATCTTTTGGACTTGGCTTGTTCCAACATCACCGTTCAGAACGCTACACTGACACAACAGAACCAATCAGTGAGCCTGCTGGACGACCTTGACTTCCGTCTCTGTGGGGCTTCATCAGGGTCAAGCCTCCGCTCACCTCCCACTCCTGAGCTGGCGCAGCCTCCTCTCTGCCTGTCTGGGTGCTCTGCGGGGGGAGAGTCTGCGGCTCCAGACCATGGGAAGAGGTTTCTGCCTCACACTGTCCCCTCAACCAGGCCAGTGCTCCTCCTTGGGTTATTCTATAGAGCAAATCTGCTTGTTATAACCGCTATATCGTCTGCTCATCTAACTGGTCTTAAATTTTTCTTGTAATAACCATTTTCTGAAATATTTTAACTTGGTATATGAATATTATGTAAAGCTAATACTGTTACATAAAAGGCCATGCATTGCTTGTTGAAATGAAGAATTAAACGTTTAAAATTAAGTGCTAAAATATCCCTTTATTAAAAAAAATTCCTGAGTAATCATTTGGAATACCACGCAGGCACACATTTTAATGTCTTTGAACCAAATAAGAACAATCTCAACATGCTGTGCTTTAGTGTAAAAATCAATTTATTATATAACAATCATACAGAATGCTTATCGGTCTACAAAGAAAAATGGCTTCTCCTGCATCCCTGTCCACCCCAATCATGATATTATGTTCTCAAGTATTTTCAAAGGAAAACCAAAAAGTGATATCCACATTTTCTAAATAAGGAAGTCCCCAGAAACATCATAAAATGATATGGAAGAATCATTATGGTCTCTTACAAAGTGCTGTTCTGCCCATCACAGTAAGTATCATTTTGCCTTACAAATAAAAATAAGTACCTCTCTGATGGGGATAGGGAGGACCTTCTCTCTCAATATGCCTGAAGGCGTCAATATATCATTTTGATGGGTTGAAAATGTCACTTCATTTCCATTTAACATTCCATTTTGTTTAAAAAAAAAAACTGGAATTTTTAATGTGCTTATAGTATTACATATTTTCATTCTTATGAGTAAAAGGAAATTTGGGAACAAAAAGTTTTCATTTTTCTAACGTATATAGGCTGGCTTTTTTTTTTTTTTTTTTACAGTTTTAGGAAAATCGCATTAAATGTAGACATTTTGCTTTTTAAAGTTCCAATACTTAATAACAGGTCAAAATATTTACCTGATTCAGCTTTTGCGGCTAAGATTTCATAGCTCTGTGTATTTATATCAGCCTTTGAATGGTTTAAGGCTAGAAGTGTTTGATTAGAATTAAAGACTCAATGGGAAACAGCGTCCTGAAACCTCTACACTGAGCTGGAAAAGTGCAAACTACCCTGTTTTATCCCTTTGATCTGAGAGGCTTCCACCTGCCTTGTACTTACAGCTGGTGGGCTCACTCATTCTGCTGAAGGATGGCTTCTGTCCTTGCTCTGCCAATACCAAGTCCAGGAAAGCACCAAAGTTGCAGGTAAACGCCGGGGGGAGGGGGGTGGCGGGGGGGGAGACTTTCTGGCCTTCCTGACATTTGAGGACCAGCTGCAAACAATGAAGGCCCAGTGAGATCCAGCTTCTCCCTGAGTCTCATTTTTCCCCGGAATGCACTTTGAGAACAGAACAGATTTTTAGCCCTCACTTGGGACCTAAAACTGAGCTAGTCCAGTTGCTCTGAGGGGCTTTAGTCCAACCCATGTTTGTTACAGAGGAATAATCAGAGGTATACTTGGGTCTAGCCCTTATTTTAAAATGAATTTCTGGGAGAGAACGATACTCCTAACAATACTGTTAGGATGGGATGGAAGAAGCAGGGATGAAGCACCCTAGAAAAATCAGTTTTAGAAAACTTTTTAGAAAAATAAATCCAAGAGTAAGTGGGTGTCAAAAATGTGTGTTCAATAAAAATGGACCAAGTGCCCACCTGTGACATGTACATATACGCACAGCGCATCTACCACAACAAACAGCTAAGACCCGTCATCTTCCACACAGCGGGCCAGGTCCTGAGAGAAGTGAGAAAACGCAATCACAGTCCACGTTCAGTGTCGTACCAGAGTCTGTGCTCTTTTTTAAACGGAGAAGAATTTTAACACTAGAAAGCGAGGGGGTAAGGAGGACAGAAAGGCATCCCGGACAGAGCGGATGGGGTCCAGGGAGCGGTAAGCACGCCCTTCTGGTGCTTGTGCTTCGGACCTCAACAGGCCACCCTATGAGCTATTTTAAAGAGAAGGTAGGAAAGAGTAAGTGTCAAAGGCGGCAAGTCTTGTCTTAGGGCATAAATCTTCCTCACATCTTTAAAAAATATTGTTTCCATTCTTGGTGCAAGTGAATAGTAAAGGTCCAATACGCAGGGAGAAAAAAGAATATTCACTACTGCTTTCGTCTGCTTTTGTGCTTGTTCTCAGTGAGAGCGTGTTATCTGGGCAGGGAAGGGATGTGCTGAGTTTGCCAAATTGGCACTTTTCACGGAGGCTCATTACCACCCCCTGGCTCAGCGTTGGAATCTTTCCATCATCCTCCTCTTCCCATTTTCAAAAACTTAACCTGCAAAGAGTGACAGCAGGTATTTGGGGGTAGTATTCACAAGCGGGCTCACAAGAAATAGTGGAAAAACTCAATGTCTGTTTTGCCCCAACTGCTCTGATTTAGAAATATTCCAGTGGCTTATCCTTCTAGGGAGAAGGGAAGATTCCTTGATCAGAAAGGAAACGGGCAGCCAGATTTAGATTCTGCTTTCAAAACTGAGCAAGGTGTGTGTTTATAACCTAAAGTAGGGGAATTTAACATAGGAGGTAGACATGAACATATGAATAGTCATGGAAACCAAATTAAAACTGAGGAACAACTCCTATCCGAAGCCCCTGAGCTATGAGGATTTGGCAGATTTTTTTTCTTCTTAGAAAAAGTAATCGTCAAAATAAAATACAAATTTCATTACCATATCACGAAGTTGAGACTTAGTGTAGGAATTTGACAGACTGCACCTTAAAAGAAAAAAGTTGTGCTAGATTTTCCTGTCTTCCATGTATAATCCATTTTAATTATTTTCTGGGGTTGAGTCCTAATGGAACAAATGGACTAATGACTTTATTGCTTAATAAGCACTAAGCAATTATTGCTTAATATAGATTAAGACCCTGTGGTTAGAAGGTAATTACCATTTTGTCTTAAACATTTCAATCTGAATAAAACTTTTTATTTGAAGACTGGCTTCGGAAAACAAGGCTCCATGTTTCCTGGCTTTGTATGTGTATAAGGCGTTATGGAAACAGTTTCTGGTGAGGGGTTCAGTTTGTGGGGAGGAGGAGAGAGAAGCTACACCAGGTCTGAGGTCTACAGAGCTCGGTGTCTGAGGTGACATGGTGTGCTGACGGGAGCATTCAGTTAACAGATTAAGCTAATAGCAATATATTAATACATTCCGGGTACAAATGATTTATAAACTCAAAAGAAATTAGTTTATGCTAAAACATGTAACTTTAAATTCAGTCTTTGCTTTAAAACAAGCGAATCTTAGGCTATTATATATGCTTTGTTACTCGATGTTTATTGTGCTTTCCTGTTGATGACCCCATTAGTCACCGTGAAGTAGGCTTTGGAAAAACCGTTCTTAACTTCTTTCCCTGCAGGTGGCTCTTCCATATTTTTCTTCACTGGCTTTTTCTGGTACGTCTGTTGGATGTGTGTATTTCAAAGAGGGGGGAAAAAAAGGATTCTTGAATAAGACTTTCTCTCTGACATGGCATATAATCTAAAACAGTTCATGATTTTATTGCATATTGGACAAGTAAGAATTTTTGTAACAGGACAATTTTTAAGCTAATGGTTAAAAATAAAGGGGTAAAACCCAAGACAAATATGAATTCCAATGAAAGGTTATTTCTTTCACCTTATCAACATTGGTTAGGATTTACGTATTAAGGGATGGGCATCCAAATTATTCTGCATGTTGCTTCCTTGTAGTTCCTAAAAATGAGATCCTTTTCCAATTCAAGTTGAAAAGGTGCTGTTATTTTAAAAGTACCAGTACCTTGGATTCTGGCTTGATTTGGGTTTTGGCATATCCTTCCTAATTCTGACAAAATATCCGATTTCATCTCATTTTTACCTTTTTTTTTTTTTTTTTTTTAAAGCAATGGTATTAACAAGGGTCAAGACTGAAATTATATACTCAACTCTAAAGGAGTAAGATTCCATTTAAACCAACAAGTAGGGTTGAAGTTCTGGGCGCCCAGCACCCACCCTGCTGGGCCGCATGCTCCTGTCCTCAAGGTCCGACCCCAAGCACCACGTGGACTCCCTGAGCTTTCCTGGAACAGTCTGTTTCGGTTTGTTTTTGTTTGGGTGGCTTTGTTTGGTTCTATCAATGGTTATTTCTCTAGAAATTCTCAGAGGAAACTTATCTCTTATAGAAGACAAAGGCTAGCCAGTCCAATTTCAGAAACACAGGGGCTTAAAAGCTTGTCAGAGGTTCAGGTTCCCACAGCTGGGCTCTGTATGAAGCCCCTGTGGGTTAACTTTCAGCAAACACAAACTAAAAAAGAAAGCACTTGTTGTCTGAAGAAAGAAATACACACTTGATTACAATTTCAAAAGTGCTGTTTTGAATATAAATGTATGTTCTCATTGCTTTTTCATGAAGCTTAATTTCTCTGTCCCCCACCCACACAGGAGAGTAATTTAAAATCTATAATCACCTGAGGCTTGTGCCCTGCTACGGCTTTCATCAGTTTTTGTCTTAACAGAGTTGCTCTGAAATTGTGTTTTGAAGCTCTGTTCCATTTAAATTGTTGATTAAAAGAAAATGACACTTAGTGAAGAAAATGCCAATGTGACCTTTCCACGATGGCTGGCCTTAAAAGATTTTTTTCCAAGTAGTGAGTTTATAGTATCACAGTGCTGATATAGAAACAATTTTTTAACACTAAATTCATTTAGCTTCTGTTTTTCTCCCTTCAAACAGATTTCCTGCATTCATATATATCAACCAAATGTGTGACCTGACTGAACTCTAATAAAATGCCCACTAGGCTCGAACAGGGGTTATCCTTCAAGGGGAGGATGCGGGGTGTGGAGTTAGGAATGCACATTTCTCTGTTTCCTTTGGGTGCCTCGATTAGGCACAAGTCTGTGCTACGTTATTTAATTGGCAAAATTAAACCTCTAGGTGAGGCAAAAGCCCAGTCTACTATGTTTTGCTGCTGAAGACTTACAGGTCACTTACCTGCACGTAGAAATTTAAGAAGAGGATGACTAACGTCAGCATGTAGTAAGACTGGAAGATGAGACAGCCCAGGGGGAAGCCACAGGGTCTCACCACTGCACTCATGGTGTGCGTGATGGTGAGCACGAACTGTACCTGGGGGAAGGGGGTGGGGAGGCAGCAGGTGAGGCAACCAGGCGAGCCAAAGAAAATCCACTTTGAAATGTTATACACTGAGAACTCAACTTCTGGTACTCCCTAAGATTCGGAAACAAACGCTGAAGCAGCCCACGATCCTATCCAGACATTTTATTTGAAATGACACTAGTAGGTATATACAATTGCAGTTGAAATTCTTTAGATAAAAATGAATCTGTTAAAATTAATGTCTGGGTTAAAGCATCTACATTTCAAAGCAAGGAATAAGCTAATTGTATCCACAGAGGGCATTTTAACACACCAGGTTTAATGCTTAAAAGGCAATTTTAGAGAAAAATAGGCAGCATCCTCACACAGAAAAGCCTCTGTGGAGGATGACAGATTCCTTTCCTCCATCCCTCAGCATATTTAGATGCTTCACATGGAGAACAGCGGAAAGAAGGGATAACATACCAGTTGAGCCTGTGTGAGATATTTCTTCCACCAAAGATACTTGTGCATAGATGGAAACACAGAAAGGCCATAGTAGGAGTACATAAGAATGTGGATAAAACTGTTCAGTGTGGGTCCAAAGAAACCTGTGAAAGTACAGTATAAAAATTACTGTTCATTCTTTATCCAGTGAGACTGGTTCTTCCTGTACACCATCACTGAAGATGAATAGCAACTCCGGTACTAGCAGATACCAGAATTTCACATGGACAGACTCCCTTTCGCTTCTGTGCTTACTCCAGGATTCAGCAAAAGTCCCCGAGACAAGACAAAACTGGGATGGTTTTTCAGTCAGAGTGTCAACCAAACAGGTAATTCCTGATCTGCAAAGGTTTTACTGTCTCTTACACCATCATTATTATCCACTAATCTGGGAAAAAACGAAATGTTTGCTTAAAACTGGTGGCAGAACTCCTCTGAAAGAGAAGTGTCTCCACTTTTGCTAAACCTTGGATGAACCATTTTGATTGTGGAAAGAAAGCCACCAGTACGAGGCTGAACAAAGCGTTCAAGGGTCGAGGACAGTATGTTGCTCTTTATATTTATAAATTCAACCTGAAAGGGACCTAGGAAGCAGGAGATGCTGGGGGAAGGCGAGAGAAGGTCCCGCAGGAGAGAAGGCTGGGACAGAGAGGGACCTGTCACTGAGATTTCCCAGTGGCTGGGTCATGTCATGGACTTCTAGGACAAGGAATGTCTAAAATCCAATTTGAGGACCTGTGCTGTGCCCCTCCCTTCCTGAAGTCCCTGTAGCTGCCATCAACGGGGGTGAATGATGTTTTGGGAAACCAAAGGCAAAAACTAAGTTCTATGTTGGCTCAACTAAGAAGCAAAAGGATTTAGCTGCAAGAGGTGGGATGTCAGAGGCAGGTTCTTTGTTGGGAACTGGGATACTCACTGTCATGAGGAGTAAATCAATACATACATGCAAAGTGCTTACAATGGTGTCTGGCAAAGTGAATACCACTTACGTGCTACCTTGGGATCCAGATGGAGCTGAGTCCTGCGGTGAAGAGGCTGTGGAGCTAGAGGACCCCTACTAGCTAGGTCCCCTTGGATACATCAGTTTTACTTGGTAAATTTTGATTTTGCCATCTGGAAAATGGGCATGATGGGATTGACTGAATACTACTATATAAACTGAAAAGTACTGGACCTATGCTGGTTAATCAATTTAAATTCTCTAGCCTGGTTTTCCAATTCTAGATCAGAGGTCTGGTTAGATAAATGCAAATCAACGAATAAGAAATGAAAACAACACTCGCATCCAGTAAGTCCTCCGCAAACACAGGCTGGAATAACTTGTTACAGGGCTTGGATTTACATGAAAAGAGTTTCAGAGTACCAGCTAGCATAAGGTCAGTGGTATTTCTTTACTCACCTGAGTTTTCATTACCATGAATGAATGGAAAAGGAGTGGTTGATTATAATTCCATAATATTTTAGGTTCACTAGAAATTGTCACACACAGCATCTTATTAACAGGAATCCGATGTCTTTACACAGCAATTATGTGAGACTGTCGTTCAGATGCTTAGTGATTTGTAATGAGATAGCTGATAAGCACAAAAAATACTTAACCTTGATAATTCTTCTTTAATATTGGTTATGGGCTTTATATTGATTAAGCATAAGTCTATCATTGTCTTAATAACAAAACTCAAACTAGATTCGGTCCAGGAGAGGTATAAAAGACCCATCTCTTTCTGACTCCTGCACCCCCAGCAATTTCCTTCTTCACACTCTGGTTTCAATTTGCATCTTCATAGTCACTGATATTTCTTAAAACATCAAGAATGTTTGGGATAGATCTCTAAGGTCCCCAAATCATCTTTCTTTTTTTGGGGGGGGGTTTCCTTTTTTTAAATTTTAAGTTCAATTAATTAACAATATAGTGTATTATTAGTTTCAGAGGGAGAGTTCAGTGATTCATCAGTTGCATATAACACCCAGTGCTCATTCCATCATGTGCCCTCCTTCATGCCCACCACCCAGTTACCCCATCCCCCTCCACCTCCCCTCCGACAAGCCTCAGTTTCTTTCCTATGCTTAAGAAGTCTCTTATGGTTTGTCTCCCTCTCTGGGTTCATCTTGTTTTATTCTTCTCAGGTTTGTTTGTTTTTTTACTAACCAGAATCATGCTGTATGTATTGTTCTTTGATGTGCCTGTTGGAGATGTTCTCAGCCTAGCACACTCCTTGTATCCATTCTATATTCCACAGAAATAGTTAGATGTTTGGGTTGCTTCCTTCTGCTGTTATAATTATGCCCACTTTTGTGCACAAACTTGAGCACAGGGGCTGGAATTTGAGGGGAAGAGTGTCAATTTGAGCCCCTGGCAATCTGAGGTGAAGGCATGTTGACTTGGCATTTAGCAGGTGGCAGGCTGTGCGTGCTGACTCGGGCAGGAGGGTGGCTGGACTGTGAATTTGGGACCCACAGGCCGATGGCATCGTGTGTGACAGGGACGTGGCTGGTTTTGCTTTTAATTTTTGTTTTTCTGGGAAACTTGATCTCTCCCTCTATTCTAAATGAAAGCCTTGCTGGATAGAGTATTCTTGGCTGTAGATTTTTTCCTTTTAGCAGTTGGAATTTATCATGCCACTTTCTTCTGGCCTGCAGAATTTCTGCTGAAACCCACTGATAGCCATATGGGGTTTCCCTTGTATGTACATGCTTTCCTTTCTCTTGCTGCTTTTAAAATTCTCTCTTTATCACTACTTTTGGCCATCTTATTTACTTTGTGTCTTGGTGCAGACCTCTTTGGGCTGGTTGTGTTGGGGGTGCTCTGTGCCTCCTGGATCTGGGTTTCTCTTTCCTTCCCCAGATAGAGGAAGTTTTCAGCTATTATTTCTTCAGACAAATCTTTTGCGCCCTTTTCTCGCTCTTCTCCTTCTGGGATCCCTATCACGCGACTGTTATGCAGACAGTGTTGCTGAGTTCCCTGGGTCTATTTTCATTTTGCTTTTTCCCCCCTCTCATCTGCTCAGCTTGATTGCTTTCCATGACTCTGTCCCCCGGGTGGCTGATCCTTTCTTCTACTTCCTCTTGCTTGCTATTTATTCCAGATGGTCTATTTTTATTTCCATTTAGTGAGTCCAATAGCTCTAATTGGTTCTTTTTTATGTCTTCTATCTCTTGGTGGAGGGTCTCATGGAGGTCCTGCAGTCCTTCCTCAATTCTAGCAAGTATCTTTATGAGCATTACTTTAAATTCACTATCAGACATATTACTTACCTCCGTTTCGCTTAGGTCTCCTACTCTGATTTTGTCCTGTTCTTTGATTTGGGACATATCCCTCTGTCTCCTCATTCTGCCTCTTGCGTGCTCGGTTTCTCTGTGTTAGGAAAGTCAGCTCCGTCTCCTGCACTTGAAAGTAGTGGCTTTGTGAAGAAGAGGTCCTGCAGTGCAATGTCTGTTCCCCAGAACCTGGTGCTCAGGGGGGTCTTCTATGTGTGTTGCTGGGATGTGTTTGCCTTCAGTCCTGTTGTCTGCAATGGCTCCCTGCCTGTTGTGGGCAGGGTCTGGTGCCCGTGGTGTTAGTGGGCTGCTCCAGGGCTGCCTTGGGCTGGAGTTGAGTCAGAGCAGGCGTTTGCCGGAGATGGAGTAGCACCAAACTGCAGGCCCTGTCCCTGTGTCATCCCCGGAGAAGCTTCTGTTGGTGGATGGGGGCCTGCAGTCCGGCCCACTGCTGGGGTCACAGTCAGATGGGTGTGTGGTTATCTTCCCCACTCCCTGGGGCAGGACTCACTCTGGAGTGGTGCTGACCCTTGTCTGGGCCGCGCACACACCGCCAGGCTTGTGGCACCGCTTTGACGGGATCTTGCCAAGAGCGATCGGAGGGGGTGGATCTGCTTCGCTGTGGCCTCTTGTCTATGCCGGGCTGCGGAGAGTCTGTTCTGCCAGTTTTCGGGCTGCTTTCTGAGTTATTTATGCCGACGTGGGTGCTCTCTAGGCGGCCACGCGGCGAGAGGTGAGCCCAGGGACGTCCTACTCCGCCATCTTCCCAGCAGCCCTCCCCAAATCATTTTCACTGAAGTTTTACCTGTTCTGAGTTTTCACAGACCATTTTTAGATCTCGGGATTTAAGACAATCAGAAAGTACTGCTGTCCCTACTGCGGGGTGTAATGGACCTGTTAGTAAACTATGAAATCCCTGTCACGAGAGTCATCATCAGCTTTTTGAAAAAGTGCAACAGAATTAACAACAACAAAACCCAAAGTGCATCCCCCAGAGCTGGGGGAAAGAGTTCCTGAAATTCTTGTTTCATACAAAGTATATACATGTAAAGAGGCTGGGATATAACGTGTACTGTAGTTCTCAGTTAAGAAAAATATTGAAAGCCACACAGAGCTGTGACCTTAGTTTTTCAGAATGGGAAAAAAGTCCTAGGAGTTGAAGGGACCCCAAGCTGTAGTGTGGCCAGGTGGTGACTGTGGAAGGTGCCATATTTATTTCTGCAGGAGTCTTTCAGCCCCCGGGGTTGGAGGACAATTTCTCCAGCTGGCGTACATGCTTCTGGCCCTCAGACCTTTGGTGCATAGAAAGAAAATGTTTTTAAAATTTAAGATAGGGCGCCTGGGTGGCTCAGTTGGTTAAGCGACTGCCTTTGGCTCAGGTCATGATCCTGGAGTCCCAGGATCGAGTCCCACATCGGGCTCCCTGCTCAGCAGGGAGTCTGCTTCTCCCTCTGACCCTCCCCCCTCATGTGCTCTCTCTCTCTCTCTCTCTCTCTCTCATTCTCTCTCTCAAATAAATAAAAAAATCTTAAAAAAAAAAATTTAAGGTAATACTCAGATTTTGCCAGAATCAAAGACCAGAAATAACCAGCCACTGGCAAATAGGTGCTTCCTTGTGTAACAACGCAGGCCACCCCGTGGCCTCCCTTTTCTCTCTCCTGATATATGCAATATTCAATACAAGACACTCACTAGAGGTCTTAAAAGACCCAATTACAGAGAACTGAAAAATAACGAAATCACTTACTTTGCCCACAAGGTATCCAGTTCAAAACACACCACCAGATGTTAAACATGGAGGCATGATGGTATACGTGAAGAAAAGTAATCTGACTGGTTTTTTTCCGCAAAACAAAGAAAATTGTGTCCAGGAACTCTACTGATTTGGAGAAGTAGTACCACCATAACACCTTAGCTACCTGTAAGAATGTGGAAACAGAAAAGAGAAAAGGTGAGCAATGAAAATCCCCCTCCTGCTGCCCTCCCTACCTCTTGGCAACCCGGGGGACACTGGGTTTCACTAGTGTGCACTTCTCTCTCGGGAAATCCCACAAGCGCCTTCCTGGCATCTCTGCCTCCAGTTTCTCCCTATTCCCAGCAATCCACCCCACTCTAGTGAAAACAAGTTACGCCTCCAACATGCAGATCTGATCAAGGTACTCCTGTGCACCTGCAGAGCACAGGCTCTTTCCCGGCTTGCCCTGGCTGCCACTTCCTGCACCGCTCTCGGAGTGCCCCACCCCTCCTCTGTGAGCGCCCCACTGTGCACTGTCCAGGTGCTCTGCATACTCTCCCTGCCACACTTGCTGCTGTCTCTGCTCTGGGCTTCCTAGCCCCCTCCCCACATGCACCCCCCTCTCCTCTGGAACTCTACCTAACCCTCTCCTTGCTTTTCTCAGGCCTCATCAGCGGCTGCTTCCTTTGCATTCCCCGATGACTCTGCCTCTGCACTCAGGAAGCAGGCCAGGGTAGTGAGGGTTAGGCGGCCGAAGGCCCATCACACAGGGCAGGGACCGGCCCATCTTTGCTCCGTGCTGAGCACTCAGCAGATCACTACTGTTCCTTAACGTTAGGTTTTCACTTTTTCCCCTCTTCCTCTAACCTACATATGTTTTTGTCTCTTAACTGGTACAGGGCCCAGGAGCCGTCTGTACGTAGAAGACTACTTCTTCTGCATCTCCTCCTCAGATTTAAAATCAAGATGCCTCCAGGGTTGTATGAAATGCTGAATCACTACACTGTACACCTGAAACTAATATTACACCATATGTTAACTAATGAATTTAAATAAATGCTCTTCCTCCTCACTGAAGTGGTGGGTCAGGATTCCCCCTTCCCTCCTGAGCCCCTTACGAAGTCTCAGCTACAGGGGGAATACTTGAACTGCGCTGTGGTTTTAGCGCTAACATTGAAACATATGAGGAGAGTGTGTGTAACAGAAACTTTGAAGTTAGAACATCATGCTCTATTGTCTGCTTCCCAAGAACACAATAAGGTGTGGTGGCTTCCACCCTAATGTTTAAGGATATAATTAAACTTCACAGACATTAACCCAAATATAAATGTAAAACAACAACCCTTAGAGAATTGAAACGTGCTGGTCTGTGATAGAAATAAATTAGAAATAAAATGGATGCAAAAAAAATGGGTGTAGAGAAATCTATATACCTTATTTTGTATTATAGCTTTGAAGATGTTTTTTAAAAAGAGGATTCAAACATGTACATCTTAATATTAAAGATTTTAAAGAAAAGGTTTCTATTATGTAATAAGCAGGATTTTTGATATG